GGGTGTAAATTGTAATCAAGTGTGGAACCTAGGGATTCTAGTGTTTTGGAGAAGCTGTAATCGTCACTAAGCTACCTTCTAAACTCTTTTCGGCTTCGATCAGGGACAGGACTTAGATCGTAGTAGTGGCTAAAATGGGTGAGACTGTTTCAATGCCGTGTGACTTATGTTGTTTTACTCATCGATATGTTTAGGTCGAAGAAGCATTCCATTGCCCTAAGTTCACCCTAGCAAAAGGCCGGACTCGGTTCAGTTTTCTTATCAAATATCGGTGAGACGCATCTTTTAAATGTGGTTAGCGTTCTCAACTTTTATCAATATACATCGTATGTCTTTGGGTCAAACGGATGTCTTTGTTTGAATTGATTTATTATGATCAGTGTGAGAAACGGTTAATTTACTAGGTATAAGTGATGTGTGTGAGACGGTAACGGTCCAGATGAGGATGGGTGGGTTACCCATTAATTTGTTTCACGGGATTTCATTGCCGTTCTTGATTGTGATCTTGACAGAATGACAATCCTTTTTGGCTCGAGATTTATGCGACTGCAGTGGCTAGTTAACCAAAGAGATTGTGTTCCATCCCTGGTTTACAATTTTTGCATAAATACTCTTAATTTTTTAGGCATTAATTCACTGATTTTATGCAACAAATTAACCTAATTACCAATTCTTACCTTATGAATCTTTGATTATGCTCCCCACTTCCACTGCCCCCATTTTGTACCAACCTCTGGCTAAATGGCCCAACCCTGATCTTAGTTATAACTGGCTAGCTAATGCTAATCAATCTGAGACAGGCTTTAATGGGTCCAAAGTGTCAAAGGGCCGGGCTGGCATGAGTTGTCTGGGTTTTAATTGGACTATTGAAGAAATATGCTCAAAAAAAAACATTTTTCTCGTTCAAATTGGCCTCCTAATCATTTCTCTCCCGGATTGACAAAAATGTCACTCTATCCGCAATACCGAGGTCCGCAATAGCTAAAAGATAAAAAAAATGTCAAATTCAACTATTTTAAGTAAGGACTTGGCCGTCACAATTGCATATTTGTGTTGAATGTTTGGTTTTTAGACAGGTCTGCAATATTACAGAAGTAGTGACATTTGGGTCACTCGGCAAAGAAATAGTTAGGAAACCAATTTGAAAGAGAGAAATGGTCATTTAACTCAAGAACTCGTTTGAATTGGGGTTCCAATCTCACACGTGAATCCTATCAAATCATATGTTAAAAATGTAAAAAGTAAGTTTTACATGCAAATATAAAATTAATAACTTACTAATTTTATACTTACATACCAAACTTAGGGGTTGTTTACTAAATGTTTACCCGATAAGTGTTTAGCAGATCACTTTATCATATCGAATGAACATGACAAGGATTTAGAATCTTATTCAGTAAGAACGATAACAAGAACATAATTTTACCTAGTATGTGAGAATAACGACTCTTACCCAGCAGACGCTTACCAGATAAAAATGTTCCATATGATGCCGTTTTAATGGACTAAAAACTTACACAGTAAGATGAGTGAAAATGTTGACACTTACCGATAATCGCTTACCGGTTAAACATTTAGTAAACAACCCCTTACTTTGTAATTCAATATGAATGATTAATAATGTGGGAAATAAGTCAACCTTTCATTACAAGATACCGAATTTCTTTAGTCTCTCAAGAAAATCAAAATTGAAACACAATACTAAAATGATTGGGTGTAGCTTGAGTGGGCAGTTTACTAAACTCTTATGGAGCAACTACTTACCAAGTGTCACTTATTTTATTAGGGAATATGGCAATGACCAAAAAATTTATCCGGTAAAAATCATGACAATTACCGAGAATCTTACTTGATAAGTAAGGGAGAAGACTTTTACCTCGTAAGCTCTTACTAGGTAAAAAACACTTACCATAATCCATTTTGATGACCAAAAATGTTACTTGATAAGGTAAGTGAGGGTGATAACTTTTGTCCGGTAAGAATTTGATAAACGACCCATAAAATTTATGATCAAACACAATAATAGATAACTTGAATCATAATTAACGTAAACCCCTATAAATTGATTTGAAAACTCTGAATAAATTGATGATGCAAATCAATAGAATTATGGAAACATAATGCAAATTCGTATCACTCTATGTGTTCTATTTTCATGAGATATTTTAAAATTATATAATTTAGTAATTTATATCATTTAACTGTGTTTTAAATTGTTTTTTTTTTTGTCATACGTGAACGTAAAATCTATGAGTCCTAAAAATGGAATAAATGATCATAAATTAAGACTAAAACATATTAAATAAGCTAATATATGCTTTAAAAATTGTGAAAGATTAATTTTTATAAAAGTTCTGATTTCAAATTCAGATATTAAATCAGTGTTAAGACAAGTTTAACAAGTAGTTTTGTGATTAAAAAAACCTCAATTGTCAAATATTTGTGCTCGAGAGATTTAATCTACAGCTGAAGCACCACAATATTATCCCTAATTTTAATTTATTTTTCATAATATGCAACAAAATTATAAAAAAAAAAGCAAAGAAAATAGTAGATTAATGATAATATTAGACTATGATTTAACTTTTAAATGGGTTAAAACCTCCATGCTGACGTGGCAACAAGGGGCCTATCATGCCAGCAAAGCACCATCTCCGCTTGTCGTTTCACCACGTGGAATCCCCTCACTTGTACCCTCCTCAGTAAACACTCCGCCTGAAAGTCAGCGAATTGACTCATCCCCACTGCCCTCATGCCGGTCCTACTGAACGCCTCCCGCCACGACGGCACTTGACGGCCCGACGCCTCCACCGCCGCAGTTATCTTAGGCAGTAACACAAACATCTCTATTTTCCTGATCCAGTCATTCCCTCCGCCGCCACCAACGTTCGCCGCCTCCAACGATTCGAGTAGCGTTGAATAGAATTCTAGCCCGTCGATTACCGTTTGACGGAAGAACGAAGGTTCACCTCCCATCAGCCCTTCGCCGTCGACGACAACGATAACATGTGGCGAAATTAGCCGGAGATCGTTGATGAAACCGGCGCCTATGCGGTGGAATACGGTTGACGACAGGAGAACTGCTGTCTTCTCTCCGTCCATGAACTTGATTGCTTTGAACGACAGGTACTCGAAATTTCGAAAGGAGACGAAATCTATATCGAATCGTAATTTGAGACCACGAGCGAACTGCCATAGATTATCTCTGATCAATTTCGATTCCGTTTCATACTCCTCCGGAACGACAGCGGTGATTCTGACAGCCGGCGAATGAACCTTCCGAGACTCCGCTTTCTCGGCGATCTCTTTCATGAACGACGCCCAACGACCTCCCAGGCCGATGTCAAAATCGATAACGTGCACGATCATCGCACCGTCCACTGCCTCGAGCATCGCTTGGTTGGCGGTGAAGTCCGAGAACATCGGAATCGGAGAGACGTTTGAAAACGTCTTGTACGCTTTGATCGCTTGAACAATCTCCGACGAAGAAGAAGACTGAGTCATACGAGTTGGTCCAGTGAGTAGAGACTGAAGTGCTTCTTTGAAGTAAAAAGCAGCTCTCTGAAGCGCTTTTCCGGTAGGCGCACGGAGGCGCTGATTGAGCCGCGCCATTATCACTTGAGCCAGCTGGATAGACCGAGTCTCAAAGCACTCAGCGATCCGAATCAACTCATCTACAAAATCAAATCTATTTCCATTGTTATTATTGCTATCATCATCATCCTGACTCATGAAATCAAGTGCGTTCAGATTCGGATTCAAGTTCTCGAAATCCGAGTGAAAGAACATAGCCGTCGGCGGGGCAGTCGCTTCCGTGTGAATCGGTGGCAACTCGGGAAGATCAAGAGGGTAAGCAGATTTAGTAGAATCATCATGAAGACCCAATTCCCTCATGAGAGAATCCCATTCTTCAAACTGATGGATCATTCCATGTTCAATATTATCCAACGGCAACGGATCCTCCAAGGACGAAAACACAACACTAGTATGATCGGTGGAATTGAATTCCGAAGGCTTACCAGTAATCGGACTAGGCGGACTCCTTCGCACGTCGAGAACCGATTTAGGTTCGTAGCGATTACTTCCACCAGCGGTGACTTCCTGCTTGACGTTGGTAGAAGAGGATAGGTTGTTCTGCGATGAAGCAAAGGGCAATTTCATTCCTCAAAAGTAACGCAGGTGCGTAAATCTGAAACGCGCTTGTGTTCCAAGGGTTTGATTGTGAGTAAAGGAGGGGTTTTGTGAGGTGATGATTGTGAGGCTTTTGTAACCGGTGAAAGTGGTAGAGGTAGTGGCAGTGGTGGTGGTGGGGTATGGACGGCCATGGTTAATGGGCACGAGGGACATTGAATTGACAACACAGGGTTGAGGAGAGTAGTCAGAAGATTGATTGATCGAGCCATATCATAGAAGCTTCTTCCTCAAGATCTTTCTTGGAACTTTAGTTTTGGCCCACCATCTTGTACAACTTTTAATTCACGACGTCCAAGGTATTAGAGCCACATTTCTTGCCTTTCACAATTTCTAGTCTGCTAAAAACAAGTTTCCTTTTTGCTTTTGTGGATTCTCTTGGTTTGCAATTGCATCTTTTTAGAGTCAAGTGGGTTGACCTCTTCCTCTATTTCATTAACTGCACCTTCTTCTATCGTTTTTTTCAGACTAAAAACCTGATCTTTCATAAACACGTGTTTTAATCATTTTACTCAACATTACCCACTTTTTATGTTATATAACATATATATCAGGAGGAGTTTTAGGCCTAAAAAAAATTTGAAAATTGAAAATAAATTATTACCATATGTAATATACATATACATACAAGTAATTGAAGTTGTTTCTTGGTTTAAATGCATGTGTGCATAACAGACAAATTAATTGTATACACATGTATACAGATTTATTGTTTTATCTTAATTATTCATAGACAAGTTCAAACTCATCGAAATGGTATTTGCACGGTTTAAAAACATGACATAAATGTGCATTAAAAAGTTGGCATGGATTTCATGATACAATTATCTTACGTAAGAGGTTTTATGGATATTGGAATCAACATGATGGAGGGAGGCATAGACCTTATTAATGCATTGTTCTTATTGCAGGGAGAAAATGGATTGTTCAGGTATTGTTTTTGAAAAGGCTCGTCGTAATAGGTGTTGAGATAGTCTGTGGCTCAAAAACTTGTGTCTCATGTTACTTGAATGTGTGGTTTTCTGTAACGTGCTATTTGATTTTTCTTATTTTGTTAATATTATATATATACACACACACACATACACAAATGATCGTGCGAGAAGAAGGGTAACATGACAAGCGTAAGAAGATATCTGAACTTTTGATCACTTTTTTAATTTCACACCCGCCCATGATTGCTTTTTAGAAAGAAATTGATATGGTGCATCTCGTTGCACCTAATTCGTGTTGACATTCAATTATGATTGATCCAAAGATTGAAATCTATTTACGCTTCTTATCATAACTCTCATTCTCATTAGAATCCAACCCTATATATATACACTAGAAACGTACTCGCACAATTCAGCGAAATATATTTCGATTTTAATGTTTCTTTTAAAACATGGTTTTGTATGGTTTTGAAAAAATATTAATGTTTTTGTATTTAAATAAAATATAAATTTGAAGACTCATAAAAATTTCTATCAATATTAATATCAAATTAATAATTTAAAATTTCTTGTTTTTTGTATATTTTTTTTAGTTCAATTTTTAGTATAATTTAATTCAGGTTTAACAACAAAGTAATGTATTTAGGTCTAATAATATAATTTTTTTATAAAGATAACTTTAAATACAATTTTTTATTATAATTAAATTTAAGCTTAATAACAAATTAATTTATTTTAGGTTTAGTAATATAATTTATTAATAAATATGATAATTAAGTATTATGTTAGAACTTAATGATTATTTTAATTATACATTAGTTTTTATATTTAAAATGAGATGTTTTATCTTGTATTTGATTATATTTATTAGTTGGTTATATGAATTCAGATATACATATAACATTATGTTTATCTTGTATTTGATTGTATTTATCAATTGTACTCATGAACCATTACTTGTAAACTTGAATTTTAAGTAATATACAACATTAAACAGTATTTGATTCATTAAAAATAGTTTTAACTGTGATGTATGCTTACGTACAAATTATTTGAGTATTACGTTATTTTCATGTACATGTTTATGTGTGATACATGTATGTGAATTATTATTATGGGTTGCATGTTATTTATTTACGTGTTTTTTTTTAATATTAATTAGCATGTTAGAAACGGGTTATTATTTTCAATTACATATGGAAATAGGCCGACATGTCATAAGGGTGGCACTTCCTAGGGATTGGATAAGGGAGAGTTATATATAACAGAGAGAAATGTGAATGACAATAAGACCTTAACTCGACAGTGCGATGTAAGAGATATCGTAATCTGTTAAATGGTTTTAAAATAAATGTGCAAACAATTTTTATTTGGGGTATCTGTTTGTTTTATGTATGATAAGACGTGTCACAAAAACATGAGCTCACTAAACTTTATAAAGATGACTATTAACCTACATATCTAGAGCAAGAGGTTAAGGGTGGACAAAGGGCAAGGTTCTCACTTAGAGAATTATGTTTTTGTAGATTTCGGGATGTCTAGATTTTATGTTCGAAATCATTTTGTAACGTAATCCGGTATGGGACAGATTACTGTTGGATTATTAATTGTATTTAGATTTTGTAAGACTTTTTCTAAGACGTGCATGTTTTTATTAACCGTTATGTTTTGGGTTACTTATTGTTATTTAAAGAGATTGAAGTGACACAACTCACGGAGAAAAATGAGGGTATTATACATTTCTCAAATTTTATTTTCATGGAGTATCAAATATTCATACGTGAACAAAATCACAACATCATATGTAAGTATTTGATCAAACTCTTTTGATTCTCCGTGTTTTTTATCTAAAAAAATAAGACAAGTCATAAAATATGTATATGAGAAAAAAGATCAAAATACTCTTTCTAAATCTAAAATATATTAAATCTATTTATTATATACAAAATATTTATAACCTATACAGCTGGTTAATGTGGTAAAATAATGGAAAAAGTCTGGAAAACAAAACAATGGATTTTTATATTTTGAACGATTAAGTCCCTAAATATTTTAACCAAGAAAGTACTTACATATATAAAATGAAACAAATATACGAAAAAAAAACTTAAATTTACAAAAAAAAATTACATTTAAAAAAGATTATTGATAAAATTTACTTTAATTAAAAATAAAATATATTATGACAGTGATCTT